AAGGCCAAGTCAGCCCGGGTGAAGTTTTTTGGCCTCTAATGTGCCTTGTAGCCGCCGGCGCGCAGGTCCTCACCAACCACGTCCTCCAACGTCCTCTGCTTATCCATTCATGCTTGCTCGAGGTGCTCAACAGTGGACTCACTGCATCTTTCTTTTACGAAAGGCGAGTAAAAAGCAACTGACTCCAGCGTAATTAACAGCTTGATCGCATCCGCTGTTCGAGAACCTCCTCTCCTGCCTCCATCACTCTCGCCACGAGAATCAAAGCGAGTGTGAGTCCCCATTCTACCATCGACCAAGGCCGAAATCAACTTAGTACGAAATATCCGAGTCTCCGGCGATCTGGAGTCGCCTTGACCGTGCAGTTGTGGTTGGCTCTTCAAGCCCACGTTCCAGCCCTGTGCAGGGATCTTGGATCTTTGAGTCGGTCCTTCAACCCATAATAAAACACCGCATCACATTTTCGGCTGCGATTTCATCGACACCCGCTCCGATTTCCACAACACTGTACAAACGGCCCACCTGTTATCCTGACGCCGAGCCTTGTCGTTCCTCATTTCCGCCTCTGTTAGAACTTGGCAGGAGTGCTTCGTTCTGGTGCAAAGACAAGTGTGGACTGCTGAGCTCGAACAATCTGTTGAAGTGTGCTTCACTAGGCCGTCCAGGTCTGTTAACTTACCTTAGGGCCAGCATCTTACTTCTCGGCATCCGTACGCCCATCTGGCAGCATTGCTGCTCCGACTTTCCCGACTTGCTTCCTTCCATCTCCTACGGACACCGTTCCTGAACCTGAACGCAATCCTCGAGCCTCGCTCCCACGCTTCCTTCGAGAAATTCTCTACCTCTGACGTGACCGGTCTCCTACCTGAATGCTTCGGATACTACACCACGACCTGACACCTAGACAAAGCAACGATTGGGGGTAATACTTTGAAACTCTTGCTGGCTTTTGTGAATTGAACACGATAAGGTTGAGATACAACGGAGGAGTCTGTCACTACTTGGAGCTTGTCGTTGCACTTTCGCAAAACCTGCGTTAAAAGACATCGGTCGCTATCACCATTTTATAACGAGACTTAGGAGGAGGCTGTCACCCTTTCCATACTGACCACAACCTGCGCGTCGAAGAGCAACCAGGAGTGTGCAAGTTGTGCACGAGTTTTCGCCATGGCATGGGACCAGTTGGCAATCGACAAACCGCATCTGGTCTATATCATTCTCGGCGGTTTCACGAGTATATTCATGCTATGCTCTCTGTTCATCAAGGAAAAGCTCTATATTGGTGAAGCCACTGTGGCCACCATTTGTGGTGTCATCTTCGGTCCTCATGCAGCCAACCTCATCAACCCTCTCACCTGGGGCAACACCGACAAGATCACCCTCGAATTCTCTCGCATTGTACTCGTGGTGCAATGTTTTGCCGTCGGTGTCGAATTGCCCAAGGCGTACATGGAGAGGCACTGGAAATCGGTCGTGTTCTTGCTGGTTCCGGTCATGACCTTTGGATGGCTCGTCACCAGTCTTTTCATTTGGTGGATGATTCCCACTCTCTCTTGGTTGGAGTCTCTGGCCATCGCAGCTTGCGTTACCGCCACTGACCCTGTTCTGGCGTCGTCCGTGGTTGGCAAGGGCAAGTTCGCAAAACGAGTGCCAAAGCATCTTCGAGATATTCTGTCAGCCGAATCGGGATGTAATGATGGCATGGCTTTCCCATTCATCTACCTCTCGCTCTATCTACTGAGGTACGATCTGGATGCTCGCCACGTGGTCTTCCACTGGACATGCTATACGATCTTGTACGAATGCATCTTTGGTGCGTTTTATGGAGTCATGGTAGGCTATATTGGCCGTCATGCGATCAAGATGGCGGAGCGAAGAGGCTTGATTGACCGAGAAAGCTTCTTGGTGTTTTACTTCGTCCTCGCCTTGTTCTGCGCGGGTTCAGGCAGTCTGTTAGGTATGGACGATCTTCTTATCGGGTTTGCAGCTGGAGTAGGCTTTTCAAACGATGGCTGGTTTACCGAGAAGACGGAAGAGTCACATGTTTCCAACGTTATTGACTTGCTCCTCAACTTGGGCTACTTTGTCTACTTCGGTACAATCATACCTTGGGACCAGTACAACGCGCCAGAGCACGGCTTGGTCCCATGGAGACTTGTCGTCATCGCCATCTTCGTCATTCTTTTCCGTCGAATACCAGCTATGATGCTGCTGAAACCTCTCATTCCGGATGTCAAAACCTGGCGCGAGGCATTGTTTGCAGGTCATTTCGGTCCCATTGGGGTTGGAGCTATCTTTGCAGCAATCCTAGCCCGCGCAGAGTTGGAAACCGATTCTACGCAACCTTTGGCGGACCTGCCATCACCATCGACAAAAGATTACGCGTTAATATACCTGGTGTGGCCGGTGGTCACTTTCCTGGTCATCTCGTCCATTCTTGTCCACGGCTCATCCATCGCCGTGTTTACCCTGGGTAAACGTATCAACACCTTGACAATCACGCTGTCATACACCCAAGACAATGACAAAGGCCCAGCATGGATGAACAGGCTACCAAGAATCACTTCTCAGTCAAGATCAATGGCACGAACGTACAGCTCGGAATTTGAGACGGACGAAAAGCTAGATGTGCCTCCGGGAGAGCTACCACCAATCGGTATCCCTAAACTCCACCTGAGAAGACAGCGTGAGGACGAATATGAGAAAACCACGGGATCTCGTTCTTCAAGCGTCGGAAGGTCACGCAGAAGGAAGCGGCGCAGCGACCTGGCAAATCGGCCTGGCGGTCCTATCAGCCAGAGTGCTATCGCACCACAGAGACGATCGGAAGGTGTTCTATCCCAACAGGAGTCAGGCTCAGATACCTTGTTCGAGAAGTCTGGAGAGCCTTCCCCCGAAAGCCCTCCGCACCGCCTCGAGCCAGTCTCTAGTCGCGAGCGCGACAAATTGGAGGCTGAACAAGAAGCCGAAGCAGAGGAACAAGAACGGCCGCGATCGCCATCACCGGAAAGGCCCGCAGATGTCGAAGCATACGAAGAAGGCGCCCACATTGTCGTTGAAGATGAGGAGGGTAACGTGGTAGATACTCTCGATACGCACAACATGACAGAGGAAGATAAGGTACAAGCAATTGAAGAAGCACGAAATCGTTTGACGAAAGACGAAAGTGGCAAATTCACTAAACACAAACATCGGCCACATCCCAAGACGGAAGGTGAGGAGATAGAAAAAGAAGCGGCAGAGGCTATTGGCCAGCCCCAGAAGAAAATGCGCCAGAAATTCGATCAGTGGCGCGGCTTTGGTAGACGTAAAGACGAAGAGTCCGGGCCATCTGAGCCACCGAAGCAACCAGAACGCAAGAGGGGTCCTGCTCATGCTTATCAATTTGGCAACACCGTCATTGTGGAAGATGAAGATGGTGAAGTTATCAAGACATACACCATTCCAAGCGAGGGCGCTGGTGGCGACCGGGAACAGCAATTACGAGGAGGTATACGCCGGATGAGCACTTGGGTTGGCTTAGGTCGTCAAGGCGCTGCTGGCCCGAGCACTGCTGTTCCCGTCCAGGTGGACGCGAATGAAGCCATGAAGACAGAGTCTGACAGGCCGAACCCCAAGGAACGTCGCTCTTCCACAGGATCAGATGATGGCTTGAGGATGATCATTTCATCGACTGATCGGTATGGTCTTACCGGCCAGAAGAAAGTCCGTAACGCCCCTGGCACGATCGCCCTTGGGTCTGGAAGACGGTTATCGACTAAGGACTTTATCAAGCAAATGCAACAGCTGGAACCGAAGAACAAGATCAAGGAAGTCAACGAGAGCGATGCCCCTGAGGACGTCAAACGTGAGTTGCGTAGAGCCGCTAAGGATGAAGCTTCTGCTGAAAGGCCTGGACGCTATCGATCAGAGACGAATCCTGGTACAGTGAACGTTCCCCATCCAGATGGCGGTAGCAGGACGATCAGGACCGATATGTCCGCCGAAGACGACGACTACTTCAGTCCGCATCAAGGTCCTACTGTTGAAGGTATTCCCACCGTGGACCTGAATCGGCCACTGGAGGAAGAGAGCGAAGAAGAGGAAGAGGAAGTCAATATCCCGACACACAATGTTCGTTCGAGTATTGCCAGGCATGGGGGTGGTCAAACTGCAGCAGAGTTACGAAGACGTCAGCTAGCCCGCATCCGATCAGAGGATGAAGAGGAGGCTCCTGGTGAGGAAACCGCTGCAGAAAAGAGGCGTCGCCTGGCTGCTCTGGGATTGGGGGCCGAAGATGAGGACGACAGTAGCGAGAGTGACGAGGAGGACGAACCGCGTCACGCCAGTGCTGCTGTGCAAGAGCCTGTGATGAGTGAACCATCGCCGCGGCCCAAGATTCAGTGGGGTGGTGAGCATGGCAGAGAGAAGGAGAGGAAGGAGAAAGATCCCCAGGACATTTATGCAGGCGATCCCATCGTAGGTGCTGCGCGGAGGTTGAGAGAAATGATGAAGAAGAGGTCTTGAGCGAGGAATTTGAGAATCATGTTTTGACGGGAGTAAATGAACTCTACTGTGATTAGTTTTGGTGTTGTAGATGGGTGGATGGATCGTGCAATGTATGCAACACAATCACGAACCTTTGATATTGATTTCGAATATGGTCGACTTGATGTACCACCGCGTCGTACGGACCAGGTACTACTAGTAGGCTTGATTCTGAGAACCCATGAACAAATAAAACCAATCCAACATCTACCCATGCATGCTGGTCTTTGGCCTCATCAACATGAAGACAGTCTCACACCAGGGTATCGTTTCGTCGTCTTCCGATTTGGTTGTCGTGCCGCGATGACTAAACACGGCTTTGACAGATGTGCTGGCACCCAATAGCTGCCTCGATGGTGACCAGAAGCCCGAAACGCCCCACCTGGACCAATTGCACTAACATATACCCTTTCGGCAATTTTTTGCTTCGAAATCACCTCCCAACTTCGATACAGCTTTTCGAAGGCCTTCGCGGTTTTGTAGTGTAGTGGTTATCACAGCGGATTCTGATTCATTTGGATGTTCCGCTAACCCCGGTTCGAATCCGGGCAAGACCTCTACAACCCAGGTTGGGTGCTTTTGTTTTTGTTCCGCTTGAAAATTGAAAGGAGTTTAGTTGCGGCGGACAAATAAGTCGAGTGTTTTTTTGGTGATTTCTTGGCAGTCAAATAAGCTTGCCATTGAAGCAGAGTCCATGAGAAGATTCAAATTGTACCTACTCCGTACTCCGTACAGCATAGCATGTCTGAATGCTTTAGTCGCAAATTTATACCAAGCTAACCGGATTCAGAACAACATCATCCATCGACCGACTTACATTGTGCATTAAGTAGCTCATCCTCAGTCTCGAAATCCATATTTACTTCACCAGCAATGGCTGTTATTGAAGAAAGGTCAAGGAAGAGGAGGAAAGTGGAGGATGGCACACCCTTTCACGACTCTTCTTTCGCCTCTGCCGCCCAATTGAGAAATCTTCTTCAACTTTCAGAAAAGGCTCCCTCCGAGACCAAAACAGGTACGACATCCCCAATCAATGTCGGAATGCCCCTCTAAACATCTCCAGCTATTGACAGGTTCTCGCATTTCCTGTCTGGAATCTCCGAAGAGCAACAGTGGGAAGCCAAACAACAACAACTCAAGATCCTGAAAACCTACTGTGACGAACAGTTTTCTTCATCCCACGATCAGGTTGATTTTCCCGACTTATTGACCGCTTGGACGAATGCTAGTCAGTCGAATGACGACTCTGTTCTTACTGCTGTCCCTGCCGCTCTCACCCAGTTCTTTCGTGCGGTATCAGGCAATCTGGAATTCCGCGAATTCGGGTTGTCACTTTGTCACAGCTTGCTGAAACGAGATCAGCTTCGACTGTTCGATAGAGGCTTGTCATCACCGCGGACCAAAGATCATCTTATAACCTGCTGTCTACAATTACTGACCGAGGTCGTCAGCTTTGATGCCGGTGCCCTTGCCAGCAATGTCTTTGGACGACGAGATTTGCTTTATAGGCGCCTCGATGGCATCCTCAGTCAAGCGCAGCACCGAGGCGATGAACAGCGAGCCACTACGGCTCACGCAGCCGCCCTGGAGTTCCTTGTAGCCAACCTAAAGTATCTAGATACAGCTTCAAAGAGCGAGCTCATCAGTCAGGGAAAGACCCTGCACGTGGCCATCCGCAGCTTGCCAAACCAGCGTCCGAATGTTATCATCGAAACTCTTCTTTCTCTCGAGAAGCGGGTCCTTGGTGATACAAATTTGTCAAAACAATTGAAGATTCGATGTTTCAATTCTGGCAATCTCTCGGCTCTGGCGAAGGTTTATGATGTTGCTGAAGAGGGATCGGAACACGACGAGGACAACAGCAGCCACCAGGCTGTTCGTGATGCTTTACATCATCTACTGCTTCAAGTCTGCGCGAATACGAAAGGCGTATTGCTTCCACAAACAGGATGGTATCCCGCCGGCTTTAGCCCGGAAGTTCTCCAAGTGGACGACGAGATGATCGATTTGGGCTTAGATTCACCATACTACTCTGACGACTACCATGACAAAGTCCCGGTGAAGAACAACACCATTGCGACATTTATCCAAACCCTCCATCCAGAGAAAGACGTCTTGCAGGCTAATCTGATCACTTCGATATTTGCCGCTGCTCCTGAGCTGGTCGCCGACTACTTCACCAAAAAGCGAAAGTTTTTGGTATCTCCGTCCGACGACCCGATATGGCGAGGGCAGTTTGCCTTTTTGTTCTCTGTTGTTCAAATCCCTGTTCCAGCAAGTTGTGGCTGGCACGAAGGGTCGCCTCCTGATATGCCTCCTCCACTGTCAGTCGTCATTGAGAGCATCCTTCCCCGACCTCTGGACCGGGCCACCATAACAAAATGTCTGCACATGAAAGAAGACATCATGACCATTTCTGCTGCCCGCTTGCTCACAGTAGCCCTTGAAAAGCTTGATTCTGTGCTGAAAATGTTCGAGCTAGCACAAACCAAGTCCCGTTTGTGGGCTCAAGCTTGCACTAGGCTGATCAAATTATTCCTCGAACGGATACCGCAGTTGCAGGATACAATAACAGCACTGCAAAGCCTTGCAAAGGACCAAGAGCGAGTGCGGACAGCGGTACTCGAATGCATAGCTACCTACCACAGGGTATTGCCATCTCTAGCCGCGGGGTCGAAATTCGACATCGGACCAACTCTAATTCAGATTCTACAGAGATTGGGAGGTTCGGACGCTCTGGAAGAGGATGAGGAGAAGGAGGCATTTGAGGAACAGCTGCCACACCTTCTGGAAATCGCCGAGATCTCGCCTACGACAAAGTGGTTCCATCGACCGACTGCGGACACACTCTCACTTATGGCAGAACTGCTCAAGTACTGTGTTCCTCGGCCCGAGGAGATCTTCACAAGGCAAGCGATGCCCGTTGTGAAGGCGTTGCTGTGCAGTAAAGGCATAATCAACAGCACGCATACTAGGTCTCTAGAAGCTCTACTGGCGAGCTTGACCGCTACCAAGAAATGGCAACCTGAAGATCCAACATACCAGTTCCTGGACAACTGCATGACCAGAACGATGCAGCGGCCGGTCAAATACCTCGATCAACTTGAGCAGGAACAGCAGACAGCATCCGATGCGAGACCTCTCAGCCTCCTTGCTTGCTGCATCGCCGAACAATGGTCTTTCGTCGGCAAGAACAAGGACGAGAATGAAAAGGGAGCCAAGAAGAACATTGCGGAATGGATAGCCAGACTCTTCTCGGCGCTCGACGCTGCCGGCGAAAACTATCGTGTCATGACTGCTCTGAAACAAAGCATGATGGAACAAAAACAACATTCAGGACACGAACGCGACGAGAAGTCCAAAGCAATCCTTGAAAAGGCCTTTGAAAAGCAGCGCAAAAAGCCGACAACCCTGCCCGAGCCAGAAGATCTTCCAGCAGACACAGCAGGCACAGCCGAAAAGCTCTCCAGCACCAACCCGCCCGCTCTTCTTTCGGCCTCAGAAGGACAACAACCCACCGTCGACCTGGACCTGGACCAGGACCTGGACGAGGTCTTCCCTCCCCCACCACGCATCCCATCGTCCCTCTCCGGCCTCGACCGCTGGACGGACCCAGACTTCGAGACCGAGATCGAATCCGGTCGTCTGTCCAATTTGTTGCGATGCCTCATCAGCCCCGACCAAGAGACCCGCCTCCAAGCATTCCACACGCTCCAGACCGTCATCCACGCCGTCGAACAATCGACCTATCCCGAAAAGACACAACTCTATCTCTTGCTGGGCGAAGCCAGCGAGACCGTTCGCCAATGCTCATTGACCACCATCACCACGACCACCACCACCACCATTTCTTCTTCATCTTCTTCGCCACAGCAACAACCACCACCACCACCATCCATCATCGCCGAATTAGCAGTGCACATGCTTCCTGTCATCGCCGACCCAAGCTCCGCTTACTACCGCAAAACGAACGAATTTCTGCTCGCCACCCCAAGCTGGTCTCTTTCTCGGATCCTGCCCTACTGGCTAAATCACACCTTCCTGTCCGAACCCGAAGCAGACGACACCGACCTCCTTGTGGGTCTCGGCGGTGGTAGTGGTAATCCGACCGCGAACGCAAACGCAAATGCGAACGCACAAGCTCTCGAGATCGAGCGCCTCCTCGACCTTTTGAGCAACTCGCTCCGATCGGCCACGGACTTGGACCTCTTCCGGCGCGGACACGTGTTTACGCGGTTATTCAGTTATTTCTTGGCGCCCGTGTGCTCGAAGGTCGCGAGGAAGAAGATTCTGGGTGTCGTGCATCGCGCCACGGTAGCGACCCGCTCGGCTGGCGTGGGCGTCCATGGCGTCAATGGAGTCGGCGTCGGCGTCGTCAAGGGCAGCGGGAGCGGGAGTGGGAGCGGGAGTGGGAGCGGGAGTGGGAGCGGGAGTGGGAGTTCAGAGACGTTGATCACCCGCGCTGGTGTGAGGGAGTGGCTTGATGTGGCGGCAGAGGTGAGAGATCATAGTGGGCACGGCATGAGTACGGCGGGGAAAGTTGATCCTGAGATCCGCAGGCTGGTGGAGGTGGTGAGGAAGGAAGTCGAAGAGAATGCCGACAAAGAGGCGGTCGGGCGGTGGGAAATGGATAGGCCGATCTTCAGGACTGGCACGGCTGGGGATTTGAAAGAACATGGATCTCTTGAAAGGGCTGGCGCTGGGGATGGTGGTGTGCGAGAGCAGGGGAATGCGGACAGTGATGTGGAGGTGGAAGAATGACCGATTTCGGCATTCTTGTTGCGCATCGAAAAGCAATAGCAATATAAATATCAATTGGACCAAGTCGCTATCTGAACTCGCTGAAAACCAGACATCAACTTCGGATACTCGGTACTCTCGTCTGTACACAACGGATCCGACCACAGCTTCTATATACCTCACTGCAAGGCTTCTTTGTCACTTGTCACCTCTATTCCCGTTTCCAACCCTGTTTTGTTCTGATTCTTTCTAATATACCCCAGCCAGGCTGGTCTTGTCTTGAAGCAAATAGCCCGCTTTCTTTACTTGAAGCGACGATGATCTTCGTTCACTGTGTCAGAATGTCACCGACCATCTCAGGTTCGAGCAGCCGTGGGCCATGTCCAGGAAGTTTGCATCTCTTGTACAGTTCGGTCCTTTGCTTGCTTGTGTGTGGCTATCCTATCACCATCGAGCTTCCAGCTCCAAATTGTATTAGGTGCTCATCAAATCTGACCATTCGTTAGAAACGACGTTTAGCTCCAGGTTTTGTGATAACTTACCTCTTCCAAAGAGTGCCCTTTTCGTCCAATCCATGGCGAGAAGAAGTCTCGTCCTCAGACTTACGCTCTGTGCGAAATAAATACTTCGCCAGAGGTACACGGCCATCAAGCCACCACTGAAATTCAACCCATTGAAGTCGAAAATCGCCGCATTACCAATATAAGCCAGACTACCAAGGTGATGATACTCGAATGCCTTGTACACCGCTTCGTCGAGGTCGCCGAAGTCGACTTCATTCGCCTTGAAGCCCGGAATAGCGAGGGCAATCTTGTTG